GGAAGGAAACCTGAGGTGGTAGGAGAAGTTGTCCTTAAACACAACTCCTATCATTTCCTCATTTGAAATCCAGGCTTTCTCCATGGCTCTCTCATCGTCCACTTCCTGTAGATTTATACCTGTGGAGTGTCAGAAGAATATTGCCATGAGATTTTGTGAGTCTGGAAATGTGTCCAGAGGCACTGAGGGAATGTTCTGCTTTCTTAGCACTGCAACTCCTCCTTTTCCAGTTCTCACTGGCCAGGAAAGCAGCTCTAAATAATTCACACTTTACCAGCTGAGAAGAAGTGCACCTCAAAAGAATGTTTTTTTAAAATGTGTTTTAAAAATGTTAGCTAAGGCAGAGCTTTCCAGTTCAGAAGGGCACACTGGCCTCACAGGTAGTTTAAATCTTAGAAAAAAATATTTGTGAAAATGGAGGATTTAGGATGAATTTTCTCTCCTGATTGAAGATGTTGGAGAACCCCTACAACACAGGTTAAATAACAACAAAATCCAATGTTCAAAAAGCAAAACCCACCCGTCATGACAGATCTGGAGGCCACTCTGCCCATGATGTGCCTGGTGGTGGCAGTGACAGGGGTGAAAGCCACGGTGGCCCCGGTGGCATTGAAGGCAGGGTCATCCAGGTGGCCCAGGTGGCTGAAGGGCACCTCGGGGTAGTGGCTCTGGTGCGTGAACGTGGACACCAAGAACACCAGGGGCAGGAAGAGCAGGGACAGGATCCACTCCTGCAGCAGGGAGAGAGGGGAGGAGAATTTCATGGCGGCACAGAAACACAGTTCTTTGAGGGATTGAAATGTAAACAAGAGGAATTCAGGCTCTGTGGGATTAAAATATCAATAAAATGAACTCAGTCACACCCATTTCTTAGGTGTGGATAAAGAGATTTTTTACACTGTGGCCATCACCTGCCCATCTGTGCCCACATTTGTCACAAACCAGATATAAATATCACCGTCTAAAAAAATGCAAGTCTCCAAGTGTTCATTACCAGATAGGCTTCTCAAAAGTACAATAAATTCTAATTTTACCCAAAGAAGTTGGTACCTAGGGGCAGGCAAGGATTGGCCACTCTCAATAGTTAGATACTATTTTAGTTTTATTTTAAATTTTTTCTTACCTGAAAGCTCTGCATCTTCATCCTCCACTTGATCAGGACATTTTTCCACAAGAGAATTTTAGTTTGCTGGAATACACTTATATTCCTCTGGACTGTCTTCATCTTTGAACCTAGAGACAATTTCTTTTTGAAAATTGCTTTCAAATACAACAAAAGCCAAACCAGCAACAACTGGTTTTATTTGCACAGTCCTTGCAGATGTGCAGGGAAACTTTTTCTCCCTTTTTTACAGCAAGAATGAACTGAAGAAATTCAGATGTTGTGTGCTGAGCACAACCACCCCCACAGCACAGGGTCCAAGAGACCTCATCACCCTCAACACACTCCAACCCTCACAGCTCAGCAGCAAGCACTGATAAAAATCTGAATTTCAGGTTTCCATGCTGCAGCATGGGGACTTTGGGAGGAGTTACTGATGAAATATAAAAGGGACTATCACATTACATGACCTAATCTGCTTGGGTGGGCTCCATATCCAAGAAAGAACAATAAAGTCCATTAAAATCCCTAAAATCCTTTTACTTGTAATTTTAATGTGCTGTAGGCTCAACTCCAAGAAGTGTTGAGTAACTCCTGGCTGTGGTGTGAGCTGAGCTCTTCTGGAAAACAGCATCTGCTGGAGGAAACTCAGGCATGAGAGAACAAATTCTTGGAAGTGCATGGCAGAGAAGTCATTGGCAGGTTATTAATGAAAAATGAGAGAAAAATTGAGTGGCCACGAGCATGCACTGATGTGTTACTCCAACAGACAGGGCAGAACCCTCAAAATGACATGGTCAAAGCAAAACAAGGATTATTTTGCCTGGTCAATGCTGGGAAGGAAGTAAAGCATAAAGCTGCCTGTCAGGTTTTTGCAGATGAGACGTGTGCTGATTAACTGTCCATAAAACAACCACGAGGACCTTTCATGAGCAAAAGGGTTCAGTGCCTCTATGTAAAAGAGCTCTGCTCAAGTGGCCAAACTGCCCTGCTGTCACACCTGGAGCTAAAATCTGCTTTTAAACACAATCCTGATCTTCTCTAAGTGATTCTCAGGTAGAACAACCAGAGCTAATACAGATTTTTAATCTTTTTACAGCTTTTTAATCCCTTCACGCCTTCCTGTCATAGGGAAGGAAGATGTCCTGTTCCCCTGGGGGACAATGCCTCGTGGTGCTGACAGGCAAGACAGAATTTATCTTCCTCCAAATATTTCTATTCAGCCCTCAGGGGTTGAATCTCGGTGTGATGAGACAGCAGGCACTGGAATGCTGGAAAAGCAGCTGCAATAAATGTTGCATCCCACTGCAAACACCTGCCCTGGCTTTTGCCATCATCTCTAAACAGTTTTTTTTTTCTCACTGGTGATCTCGCTAAACCCAGGTATATAAAAATTTGAATTTAGCCTGTGTAACCTCTAGACTTCTTTGAATAAACTGTGGATTTAAAGTTGCTATTATCTGGTTTCTTTCTCGCCCCACAGAAGGGAGGATTAGGTTGTTGTGTGTCACCTGCCCCAGGGGCTTTGTGTCACAGCTAAAGCCACTTGCCAGGCTGTTCTAGGAGTCCCCTGGAGTCCCCTGGCACTCCCAGGAGATCCTGGCTGGGGTGGAGGGGTGGCACACCAGGAGCTCATCCCGGACATCCCACATGTCCCTCGTGTGTCACCCCTCGGTGACGGAGCAGACTGACCCCTCAGTGCTGCTGCAGGGTTTGGGCAGCCGGGGGAAATGGGCTACAACTGATTCCTCTGCTCCTGTGGTATTTCAGGTGACATTTTTTAGAACACAAGATAGGCAGAATTTTTAAATTCAAACTTTAGCTTACGCTGGAGGGTAAGGAAAGAAATCTGCTCCTCGTATGTCCTGGATTAAAATATTGAGATGAAGGTACTGCTTCCTTGTAGTGCTGAGAAACACTGGAAATAAACCTCTGCCATAAGCTGAGCTCCTTTTGTGTGTTACTTCACCTCAAAGTAAGGTTTCAAAGACTCTGTTGCCTTTAAACACCCCTAAGCTTAGTCACAAGCTTGACTCAACCCTATTAGGAAGATTCCCCGTGCCCCACCCACACATCTGTACCCTCACCCAGTGTCATTAACAGCATCATAATTAACTGGGGGTTCTCAAACCTTCAAAATAACATTTTTTTATTTAGGCTTGGGAAGAATGCTTAAGCCTTACCTCGACAGGAAGGTTTGAGAGGAACCCAGAGCTTGTCCTGGAGGAGCAGAGATGCTGAGCCTTGCTGGGATGGACTGGCCGACTGTCCTGGAGACTCCCAGCTCTCCTTTGTTGTTTTTTCCCCCCCAGGCACTTCTGCAAAAGACATTCCTCACACCATGGCTTCTTTTCTTCCCTGGCTTCCTTCCCCTTCCTCCCTGGCAGAGCTCCAGCTTTATTTGTGTCAGAAAAAGCAAACAGAGCACATCACTGTTGAGGCGCTGGAGTGTGTTGTCCAAAAAGTTAACTCAGGACATTCTTGAGTCGTGGCCAAAAGAAGGAAAACAAGCGCCACAACAAAGCACACAAAAATCCTTTCTCTGGCAAACTCTGCCCTGTTTCTCAGTGCAGCAAGAGGGGCTGAAGTCAACAGCGATGTCACAGCCCAGGCAGGGCAGGACAAAAGGTGACAAACTCATCCTGTGGCATCAGGCACAGAGCAGGAGCAGCAGAGAAGTGCTGGATAGCAACAGCTAAGAAACATCTTGGAAATGTTGAAATAAACTTCTCCTGACTAACTCTGCACACTGAAGGGGATGGGTTTGGTTTCATCCCAGGCTGTGGAGCTGGATTTCCTTCCTTCTGCCCTGCCTAACAGGAAAAATCCACCCCTAAGATCTAAATCCCATTCAGATGTTCCAGAGCGAGGCAGACAGCAGAGGTGCAGTGAATCAGGGCATGGGATGAAGTTAAAAACTGTCCCCAGAACATCTCCTGGGCGTCCAAACCTTCTCCTCCCCTCCTTGCAAAAGGAAGAAAACCAACCCTAAAGTGAAGAGGTGCAGATGCCAGGTCCCAGGCAGTGAATCTGAGTTTCCTTCCTGCCCAGCTCCTTGGCAGAGCCCTGATGTTGGGAGATCCACGTGCAAAGCAGAACTCAGGGGGTGTGGGTGGCTGCTCTGGGACTTCTCCATCCGTGAGCCACGGCAGCCACCTGCTGGTACCTGCTGGCCCACATCCCTGCCTGCACCAAGCATCTGCAAAAACCTGCAGGAAAACCTCAGCAGCTCAGGGCGAGCTGAGGGCTGTGCTGCTGTGCCCATCCCAGGGGATGGCACTGCCCCAGGCCATGGCTGAGGGCTGTGCTGCTGTGCCCATCCCAAGGGATGGCACTGCCCTGGCCTCCAGTGGGTCCAGCCCAGCCTTTGACAGAGAGTGCTGGGGGACAGAGCAACAGGGAACAAGGGGAAACTCCTGAATGCAGAGAATTCCTGTTTTATTTAGTTTATTTTTTTTTAAATTTTACTTTTAACTCTAGCTCTGGCAGATATCCAAGAGGAGATGCTGATCTGCTCAGCCAGGGTCAGGGTGCTGGTACTTGTCCCCAGCTCCCCATCCCTCCCAGGCACCCACAGGGGTGGTGCTGGTGAAGAGCCCCCCTCTCTTCCCAATGACCAAAGCCCTGCTTCAGCACTGTTTTGGGTCAAAGCACAGCTTATTTTGACTCTAAATGATAACTGGGTTTTATAGATGATGATGTAAGAGCTGCCAGTTTTCATTATATTTATCCAGCCACTGCTGAGTCCTGAGTCCTCCATGGATGAGCCAGGTGTCAGAGCCTTCCCTGGGTTCTCTCCAGGCTCTGAGCCCCCTTTGCCAGCCACAGCCTCGGGATCAGGAATTCCAATCTCCACCAGGCAGTCTGAGCAGGGGCACAGATGAGCATCAGGCAGCAATTTGTGAAAGGATAAAGGCTTTATTTATTAAAATAATAACTCTTTTTTTTTTTTTTCTCTCTGTGAGGCAGGACACCTGCAGGGCTGTGTGTGCTGTGACGTGGGGAACCTGGGGCTGCAGCTGATCAGCTCTCAGTGACACTGATGAAATACATGGAATATTCCCCACTGTGGCTCCAAGACTCAGGGGTGAAGGGGTCTCTGCTCCACAGCCCCGTTGGATGCCACCTCCAGGTCCTGCTCCTCTGCATCCCTGGTGAGGTCTACAAACACCTGCAATGGGACACAGTGGAAACCACCCCGTCATTGCCATGGACTGGCTGCATTTGTGCTGGTCACAGGTTATTTCTTCCTTTTCCACAGGCACTTCCCAACCTGCAGGTCCTGCATCAGCCTACCTGGTGCAAAGTGTTGAGTGACAAGCTGTACTCCTCAAGCTTGAAATTCCGTTTAGCTGCGGAGGGGTGGAGAAAACATCCTTAAAAACCAAATCCACATCAACAATTTGGAAGCTGTTTCCTTATTTAATCGTTTCCTTTTACCTGCTTCTAGCCTGGAGAAAGACCTGGACAGAGGTAGTGCATCTGCCACTGGAATCTTGTAGGTGAGCAAGGAAGAAGTCCTGGAAAAGTAAGAAAAAAATTGAATTCTTCATCTTGTGACTCAGTATTGCGGTTTGGGGAGGGTTTGTAGGATAACTGTGCTTCAGGTAAATCACTGAGCAATGTCAGGAGGAGGAAAAGAGCATCCCAGCCCAAATCCGGGCTGTGGGCAGCCCAGGGACACTGACCTTTCCTGCCGAGCTGCGTGGGGGAAGAGGTTCAGGATTTCGCTGTGGACAGCCTCGCTTTGCCCCGCCTCTGCCATTTTGAGTTCCAGGTGATAACTCGTGCCAAACTTACTTTTGAGATCCTCCAGGGAACCGATGTACCTGCAGAGGGGTGACAACGTTGCTGAAACCACCATAACCAGCAAACAAATCAATGCCTTGAGGGAGCTGAGGAGTAGCTGCACATCCCCTTTTCACCGTGCTACCTCCTCAGTGTGACAAACACAGCGGAAAAAAACACACGTGGGATCATCCAAACCAGTGTTTTCCATTGGATTAAGAATTAAAAAAAAAAACAAAAAAACCCCAAAACAACCCCCTAGAGCAAACCCCCTGGTCCCAGCGCCCACCGGAGCCGGCCGGACACCAGGATGGCCACACGGTCACACATGGCTGCCACCTCCTGCAGGGACTGCGTGCACAGGACAGCTGCCCTCTCCTGGCTCTTCATGGAGGCCTGAATCATCTTCCTGGGAACACAGGGATCACAGTCACCTCCTGGGAATAGCCACAGGAAACTTCCTGCTCCGTGTCTCCCTCCCTAGAAACTTTTAAAAGTTATTAAAAAGGGAACAACTATTTAAAAACTTTTAGTTTTCTCGTTTAAAGATGACCTGGATGCCACTGCTTTGTTGCAATTTGTCAGCATCCCTCCAAATTTTGCTCTGATGGTGTAAACTGGTGATGAAAAGCTACAGCAAACACCGGCACTGAATGACTAAAGGGAGAACTTTGTACAATTTTTTTCTGTTGCTCTGAAGAAAACAGAAATTTGTGTCTTTTGTACCAAATGCATGGGTTCAGCTGCTGCATACTAAGGTTTTTTTGGGATGTATTAATGACCATTATATTACAGGGCTGGCTGCCAGCTGAGTGAGGAGCTCAGCAAGTTCTCCCCATCCCCTGGGCATTAGGAAAAAAGGAAAGGACAGATCTACTCTGTCACCAGGGCAGAACCTCAGCCTGCCCAAGAGCTCCTGCAATGGGGAGGGTGAGTCCCATCCCGTTAGACCTGTCCCAAATTCCCACCTCTGCCACCATTCCCATGCCAGGGCTGCTCACCACATGCAGCGCTGCCCTTTGGGGTCCATGCTCACAGAGGGCTCATCCCAAAGCATCACTGCTGGCTCTCCCAGGATGCTCAGAGCAAAGGACAGCTGGAATGGGAACAACATGAGGTCAGGGCTCCTTTACTCACCTGCAAAACTGGTGAACCTTAATCCCTGTGAATTTTTCAAAGGTGAAGCTCTTGATTTCAAAGTGCAAGAGGAACAGGGATTTTAAAAAAAATCCCACTTCAGGTGCTCTCAGTTAACGTTTTATTCTCTCAAAATCAGATTTCTCCAGAACTTCTGAGCCTGCCAAAGATGTGCAAGTGGCTTTCCATCCCATTTACTGGCAGATGTAGGTGGTGGGGCGTGAAGAGGTGATTGTAAATCCAATTTGTGGTTAGCACTCATTAAAAACACAGTGCAGGAGAGTGGGAAAAGAGGGTGAAGAGGAGGGAGGGAATCCTGCCAGGCTGGATTCAAAAGGTGTTGATGAAAGTGAGTGATGCCAGGAACCCACTGAAGGTTTCCTCTGCACCACGGCCAAGAAAGAGCGAGCAGGGTTTGGTTAATTAGTGAAGACAAATCCAACAGTACCTTCCTGGCTTCTCCAGCAGATAAACTCCTGGCTGGGGTCTTGAAATGCTTCAGGAGATCCAAGGCCCTTCCTATGCTGTGGGGAATGGAAAAGGAAAAGCCCCAAATGACCACAGAGCACCCTCTGTGGTCAGGGGTGCTGAGGAACCAGACACTGACACGGTTGGGTTGAGATCCATCACCTTGGGTTGCTTGGTGATTCAGCTCCTAACTTGAATGATAAATTAAGGAATTTTTGCAGAAATTCAAGGCAGGAACTGCAGCTAATGAGACAAGTGAGTTACTCATGCAACTGGCCATGAACTGGGACAAGTTTGTTTTTTGTTTTTTCCCTGAATTTTCCCAGGTAAAATTGAGCTACAATCTTCATTGGCAAGGGACTGAGAGCAGTATAAAATAGCATAGACTGAGAATAGTATAAAACATAAAACCTCATCAGGAGAAGCCACCTATCTAAGGTGAGAGGCACTGAAGATGTTGTCTCTTAACCACACAAGCTAACTTTGCTAACAGATACCCTTCCCCACCCTATAGAATCACAGAGTGATTGGGCTGGAAGCCTCCCTACCTCTGGAGGGAGGGAGAACCAACAGACGAGATCATGAGACCCTACCAGCTGATGGCAAGAGCAGCATCCTCTTCCCTCATCCCCCTGATGGCAGCGAAGGCCTCCAGGTGCTGCAGCACTGTCAGGTGTGGCCAGAGCGGGTCCTGCTGTGGGCACCAGCCCAGGGCTCCATCCCCACCCCTGAGCAGCACCTGCACAGACACACAGGCAGTGGGGTCACACAGTCACAGCCTGCTTGGGCATCTTAGAGCTCATCCCATCCCACTCCTGCCACGGGCAGGGACAGCTTCCACCAGCCCAGCTTGCCCCAAGCCCTGCCCAACTGGCCAAGCCAAGCAGTTGTGTGGTCAGTAGCCACTTGTGAGTGGTGCCTGTGTGGCTCCAGGGTGATCCTGCTCCATCTGCCTTTCCACCTTGGCTAATATTACCAGCATCAGCCTGTCTTTTCCTGGTAATACTTTCCTATTTCCAACCTTCAGTCCCAAATCTGTAAGAGCAATGGCATTTCCCCTCTCCCAGTGTCACCCCAGCACATGCCAGTAATCATTCTGCACGTAATTAAGTGATGGATTGTTACTGGCCCAACATTGCTCACATTCGTTTTCAATTTCCTGGTTTTGCAAGGCTGTTTATGGAGAGTGTTATTTTTGGGGTTTTTCAGATGTCAACAATTCTTACAGGGCTTGTGACATTTCACAATGGGTTTCCAATGCCAGCTGAAGATTTCCTGTTGCTCAAACTCTTAAATCTGTAACACTGACTTTGATGAACACTAGAATTTATGCTTGGCATAAATCAATACTTTCTTCTCAGTTCTGTAAATATCCAATAAATATAAACATCCATAAATCCCCTGGTTGTAGAGAGACGTTGCTGGCTTGCCTTATCACATCTTTAATTTTTAAGGGCCTCAAGGTGATCTCTGCAGCTGCCACCTACCTCCCCAGCAGTCACTGCTACACCTCCAGAAATCATGTTTAGAGTTGTGCTTTTCCCAGCCCCGTTGGGTCCTAGCAGACCTAAGACTTCTCCTGGAACAAATATGCAACAACTGTTAATAATATTTATTGGTAATGGGACTTCTCCTCTGTATTCTATGCAATATTTAAAAGTACAGTTGGACAAAGGGTTGTTTTATGCCCATAAATTAAAATTTTGAATGCAGGAGCCCAGAGTGTCAGGTCTTATCGCCCACAAGAAAATTCTAACAAAAATATTGCCTCCAAATGAGACCCTCCCTTTAGATTTTAGTCATTCATATTACAGGGAATGCAGCAAAGTACTTGAACCTTTTTTAACACCAAAAGAGAGGTTTCTGACAGCAAGTTTCTTCTTTTTCTTAAAGATGGAAGTGGCTGTCCTGACTTCGTATTCCTTGCGCAAACCGTTGACAACAACCAAGTCCTGTGAACAGACAGGGAAATAAAAATTTTTTTCCTACTCCATGAGACAGCTGATCTGTTCTTACCATTAAAACCATTTCAAAGCAGGACTTTGAAAAAGAGAAAATTTTTCAGTTAAAAAGCCATGAAACAGAGGGAGGAAAAAAAAAGAAGGAAAATATGCAGAACGGGAATAAAAATAATGGTGCCAGCTAAAGTCCTTGTGGTGCCAGGGTGACCGCGGGCTGGAGGGTGAGATCACAGCAGGTCTGAGCTCATGAGCTAAGAAAGCAGAGGCAGAGGAGAGAATGAAAACGATGGAGAATGAAAAGCAAAGCAATCCAGAGGGTTTGGATTCACCTCGTCCTGCTGCAGCGAGGTCACCGCGCTCCGCACCCTGTCCCTCTCCGCCTGCACCTCGGGGGGCTCCTCCCCAGGATGCTCCTTGTTCTGCTGGGGGACCCCTCTTCTCTGCTGGATCCTGGGGGAGGAGCAGGAGAGATGCTTCCACTGGGGATTGTTGGGGAGGATAAGGATTTGACAGGAAGGTTTTACAGATAAACATATATATATAACAGAAGAGATTTTGGAATGTAGAATTTGAAAAAGGAATAGAAATGAGAGTAAGTTTTGATATAGAAGGAAAGAATTGCTGAGCCAGTCTTACTGGGTAACTAGAAGGCAAAGAGCAAGTGAGTTGGAAGGGGCTTTTATGACTTAGAGCAAAAGATAAATCTACTTCAAACAAAATATATTTTTACTAAGCAAAAAAAAAAAAATTCACAGGCAAATAGGAAAGCCAATGTTGCAAGTAGGAAAGAGATCTCAGATTTTTTCACTGCAAGAAAACTGAAAAACAACTTTTAGCTTCAATTGCAAGACACTAACTTTTTGTAATTGGAAAATAGTAACAAGAATATGGTGATGTCAGTAGTTATGATAGACAGGCTATAGGTGATAGTAAAGGTGTTTATTGGTTGTCATCTATTAAGATGTTCTGTAATGAAAAATAAATAATGCATTGTAACCAGAACTAGAGGGGACACACAGCTTGCCCATAGCCAGCAGCTCTGGGCTCACCCACCACCCCCAACTGCTGGAACCTTGTCTATGCAAGAAACAGAATTTAAAAAACCTGAAGTCTCCATCTCTCTGTCAGGCTCTTACAGGAATCACTTCCAAAAAGGTTTGTAATTTTTTTCCCAGGGCAGTGCCAACAAAACCCAGAATTTCTTTGCCCTCACAGGCTCAGAGTTGGAAGGGACACACCAGGATCACTGAGCTGTTCCACAGACAAGGTTTGCTCAAGTGTTTATTCCTGGGGAGGAAAAGCTCAACTTCACTGGCATGACTGAGAAAACAGAGGCCAGTTTTAGCTTTTCCTTCATCTTTAATTACTGACTGGTTCCCTGCTCCACACGTGCCAATCATCTGCTCAAGGAGAATCAAAATACAAGTGGCAGGTTTGCAAATCCATTTGGGCATTTAACTCCTATACTTGGTCATGTTTGATAATTAAATATTTTTTTATAAGTCTTCTCCCAGGTGACCCAGGTGGTTGGTCACTTGTTGGTGACAGTTAAGCAGAGAGCACTTAGACAACCCCGACCTGATGAAGATTTAGGGAAAGCCTCCATCCTATTTGGAGCAATTCTGACACCTTTGAAAAGGAGTTAAATTTTTTTCTGTTTAAATTTGGAACTATAATTTAGCCCCCATGTAGGGGAAATGTCCTGAAATCTCAGCTATGAACCTTAAAAACCAGCTGAAATCACAATTTTTGTCCTCTCAAGGACATAGAAAAATTAAAAATACTAGCTTTACCCACATGTTGAAAAACATTTTTCACATATCACGTTTTCCCCTCCTGCTGCCAGTGCCCTGCCTGGCTGTGCAGCTCCAAAATTATTCTGGGATAACTGTGGCTCACAGGGAATCCCTGGGACACACCTGAAGATGGGGTCAAACCCCGGCACTGCTTCTCCATATCTCATCTCCAAACAGCGCAGGAGGAAAGCAAAAATCACACCGTGGATGTAGGGCTGCAAACCAGACATTAATTAGGTTTGTGTGGAGACAAGGTAACAACACACTCTGCTAATTTTAATTAGAAAGGGGTGCAGTAACCGATCTCATTAATTTCAGCTGTTGGAAAGGTCTGCGAGGGGAAGGAGCTCAACGGATGCTTTGCAGCCATTCCTGTCAGATATGCAGATTATTTGCAAAGACCTTGATTTCTCACAGCAGCTCTAGCCCAGATAATCCACCTGCACCCCAGCAGACATCCTGTGGGATGGGAGATCATCTCCTCCTTTTGTAGAAGCAGCATAGGGATGATCAGTTTATTCATAGTATCTCTGCCTTCTACATGAGCTCCACTAAACCCCCTGCCCCATTTTTGCAGCATCCAAGGGCCACATGAGGCACAAGCCCAGGATTACTTGGAATTTTCCTTGCCTGCCAACACTCAATGGGAAATTTTGACTACAGAACCCATCCTTTCTTTATGGAGAGAGTTTACAAGCCCCGTGCAAGCCCAGTGCATCAGTGACAGCCATCCCTGCACAAGGAACCATCTCCAAATCCCTCCTTACTGCAAGGACAGGCATGTAGATGTAATTCCATGTCTCAAAAATGGTGTGATCGTTGTACATGAGGAAATTCTGGAAGAAAAGGAGATGAGTCAATCAGAAAATTCCTCAGCACGGTGTGTCCCAGGGCAGGGTCAGAGCAGGTGTGGCAGGTAGGGATGTTTGGCTTTCCTCCAGGATGGGATAAAGGAGATTTATCTGCCTTTTGTTCTTTGGTTCTCACTGCCTCAAGGGGTCATGGCTTCCTCGCCTACAGTAATTCAGAGGCCTCAAATCAGGTTAAGTTGACCTTTTCTATCATTGCTTCTCTTTTCACAGTTCTTTGGCCTTCTCCCAGCTCATTCCTCCTTCCTGGTTTTCCCACTCCATCCCTTTCCCCTCCCATGCCACCCTTGCTGCCAAAATACAGCCACTGTAACAGCTCTGTGTGACTAAACTAACCAAAAATATCCTGACCAAACAAAGGATTAACAGGTCAAATCTTGGCCTCTCCTCTCACTCAACAGCCTGGAACTTTTCTTTTCCTGTTTTCTTTTCCCACTCTCTCTTTGTGACTGGGAATTTGGGACGTGCCTCTTGCTTTGCCAGTTTGCACCATTAGGATAATTATTGAATTTAGTAGGATGGGTTCTGCTTACTAGTCCAGAAAACATGATCCAGCCTACAGGTGGAAACACAGGAATCAGCATACAGGCGTAGTAAAGAACTTCATTATGGTCACTGTTCATAAAAGCAGCATAATTCACCTGGAATAAAACAGAAAAACTATTTCCAATATTCATGCATTGTTGCTAAAAAAACTAAGTTATTTGTCAGTGAGTCAGGTTATTCTGCTGAATATTGATACAAATTGAAATGGATTGATGTAAATTTGAAATAAAGCCCCCAAGTGGCAAGGTGTAAATGAAAATTTCAGAGTGAAGATGCTCCTCACTCACCAAAATGAAGATTAAAGACCAAATGTAACGATTGCTTCGCCCCATGCGGAATTTGAAGGCCATTAAATAAACGAAGAGGACAAGAGATATCCCATAACCAAAGATGCAAACGAGCTGGAGAGAGAGAGACAGAGCGAGACATCAGTGACAAGGAGGTGCCCAGAGCAGGTTTATTATTGCAAATAAACTCTTTGAAGCCAAATCCTGCTAGGAAATGGCCCAGAGCTCACCAGGCTCAGCACAGCGCGGGTCTCCAAGGGGCAGATGCGGGTGAAGAGCACCAGGAGCCCAAACATGAGGCACATGAGGCTCCAGAAGAACGGGATGTCCAGCAGAGCCTGCCCACACCAGTAGGCTGAGGGGAAGAGCCCTGCCAGCCTCAGCTGGGAGCGAGCCTGGAGCTGCAAAAGTGACAAAAAATGAGAAAAGGGAGAGTCTAAAACGTCATTCCTGCTCCTTCTCTATTCCCTTGCTCCTCCCTTCATCTCCTTTCTGAGCGCTTCCAATTCTTAGTTCAACCATTGTTTAAAATTCCTGAAAGGAAAAAAATTAAATTGTTCCGACCTCAAAAGCTTTATTGGCATCCAAATGATTGTGAGCCCCAGCTGGTTCCCTGGGATGCAGAGAAGTTCACTTTGGTGCTAACCTGACTGGTTTTCTTCTATCATCCTACCTAGAAATCACAGGATCACGGGGTGATTTGGGTTGGAAGGGACCTTAAAGATCATCCCTGCCATGGCAGGGACACCTCCCACTGTCCCAGGCTGCTCCAAGCCCCAGTGTCCAACCTGGCTTGGGACACTTCCAGGGATCCAGGAGCAGTTTCTCCGAGCACCCTGTGCCTCCCCACTGGTGCTCTCCAGACATTTTACATCCCATCCACTCCTTGTGTACGGCCACAGCTCGTGCTCTTTACCTTGTAATCCTCCACGCTGCTCATCGCAAAGAGAGGAGGCAAACCAGCAGCCAAAATCAGCAGGTAAGTGAATAAGCCATAAAAAATGTAGTTCTTTAGCTCTGAATTTTCTACCTGTGGGGAGAAATTCAGTCATCCATAATTGATGCTGCCCAGGGAAAATCTGGCTGGCTCGATGCTCATGAGATGGTTGAATATATACAAGTGAGCAAGAGCACTAATGGTAAATCAGTTGTGTTTAAGAACAGACAAGGCAAAAAGAAGAACATAATGATAATTAGCATCCTAGAACTAGCAGAAAGAATTTGGATTACTGTAAATTGTTGAGGATGGAGACCAACATTTTGTTGCTGAGGAAAGGTGGGGTTTGCAAAGATCACTGTTGTATTCTCACCATATTCATCAGCATGGCCTGGTTGGAAAGGACCTTAAGGATCATCATTCATCATCTCATGGCACCCCCTGCCATGGCAGGGACACCTTCCACTGTCCCAGGTGGCTCCAAGCCCTGTCCAACCTGGCTTTGGGCACTGCCAGGGATCCAGGGGCAGCCACAGCTGCTCTGTGCCAGGGCCCCCCCACCCTCCCAGGGAACAATTCCCTCCTAATTCCCAATCCAAACCAATCTGCCTCAGTGGGAAGCCACTCCCCTTTGTCCTGTCACTCCAGGCCCTTTAAACAGTCTCTCTCCATCGTTCCATCTGAGGCTGGAAGGCCACCATGAAACTTCTCTTTTCCAAGAACAATCCCAATTCTCTCCAAACAGCACAAATTAAATATCTTACAGTACCAAAACCCTACAGAACCCTTGGACACAGCAGGAAAAATCACCATGAAAAACCCCAGGAACCATCAGCAATGGCAGCACTGCCCTCAACCCTTGGAACCTGCTCCCCCAGCCAGGTTTCCAGGCTGTGCATCCCTCAGCCCTGTTGGAGTCAGTAAATCAGGAGTTTCTCTGAATTCTTCAGAGAGCAATCAGAGTGCAGGGATTGAATTAAAGCCTTTGGATGGATTGAAGAATGTTAAGCCACTCACATATAAAGTAGAGGTATAAATTTTAGTATAAGCAAGCAAGTAAGTAAGTAGAATGAGTTTTAAGTGCTTTTAGTGAGTAAAGATCTCAGATGCAGTAGTACATGTTCTAGTGAAGGTTGAAAAACATAATCCTAGATACCAGTGTTTCTGTGGAGGCTCCAAGAACCTTGCTTCAGACATAATAAAGTTATAGTTAAGAATATTGCTTAAATTTTTCAGTTAGAATAAGACAGGCCATTAGGTAGTTTATACACAGCCTGGCGTGCTAAGAAACCAGAATTCTAATAGGTTAAGGAGTAGTGGTTTGAGTTTGTGTTTTAATTAGTTGGGAAGTTTCTATAAAAGAGCATGCATTAGGGAGAGCCGGTGCAGTTTGCCATTGCATTTTGCCATTGCTTTTTGCTATTGCTTTTTGCCATTGCTTTTTGCCATTGCTTTTGCCATTGCTTTTTGCCATTGCTTTTTGCCATTGCTTTTTGCTATTGCTTTTTGCCATTGCTTTTGCCATTGCTTTATGCCATTGCTTTTGCCTTTGCTTTTGCCATTGCTTTTGCCATTGATTTTTGCCATTGCTTTTTGCCATTGCTTTTGCCTTTGCTTTTGCCATTGCATTTTGCCATTGCTTTTGCCATTGCTTTTGCCATTGATTTTTGCCATTGCTTTGTGCCATTGCATTTTACCATTGCATTTTGCCATTGCTTTTGCTATTGCTTTTGCCATTGCTTTGCCATTGCTTTTGCCATTGCTTTTTGCCATTGCTTTATGCCATTGCTTTTAATGCCATGTGCTTTTGCCATTGCTTTGCTTTTGCCTCTGACGCGCTTCTGCAACAAACAACTTTATATCAACTATGACCTGCCTGGCTCACAAAAGAAAACAACTCGACAAGCTGGGTGCCTAAGAGCCCCCAGAGGACCCAACCTCACCCATCCCAGTAAAGTTTGGCCCAGCAGGGCAGGACCTCACCGTGTAGAAGAGCTGGCTCCAGGCGCGGATGCGCGCGGTGGAATTGAGCAGCCGCAGGAAGGTGTTGCTGAGGATGTTCAGCAGCACTGGGAAGCAGTTGATGGGCTCTGGGCTGCACATGAGCGTGAACTGGTGGCTCTGGGGATGCCAAAACAAAAAGCTTTCATTGTCCCTGAGAGGTGTGAGCAGCACTATTGGAACTGCTCATTATGGCAAAAAAGTTTTCTCCCTTTTCTGGCGTGTTTATTTCTCTCATTTAAATAGTTCTCAGGAAATCCTGTTGATGTACAGGATGAAACAAGGAAAAAATATCCCTCACCTTGCCTTCCAGGGATATTTTGATAGCTCCATTATAATCTGGAAGGCTTGTGATGTTTTCCTCCAGAGTCATTTCTGGGATTATGTTTTGAGTCTTCAAAGCAGCAATGAAGTCTTCGATTTCTGACCCTGAAATCAAGTCAAGGACAGAAATTAGAGTCATTAGAGGGTTTTTTTCTTTAAATAGAAACAGATTCATATAAACAAATTCCCACTTGCAAAGCAGAGGTATGTTAAAAACCCCAAACGCTGAGATTCTAAGCAAACACATATTTCCTATATCTTTTCTATTTATTTAAACTGGATAAACAAAATACATATTTCAAACTTAGTTTATTTATTGCTTTTTATTTTTTCAACTTGCCTGGTTCATTACTCTTTTACATATAATCTATACCATCACTAGAACTGCATTTGCTTTTGCTCAAAAGAAAACACCTCTCAATGCACATTCCTTTATATATTCGTGGCATTTGCAAGGTTGCTCTGTCAATTATAAGAAAATTCACATTGATGCAGAAAGTGAGACACCCTCACATGCTGTTTCTCACCCGTGTCATTGAAGATGAGGAGGTTTGTAGACCTATTTTGAATTTTCTCTTTCGTGGGAAGAAAATACGGGCTAGATGAGATTTCCCATCTGCTGGAGTTGTGCCACAGATGAAAGAGCATTAAAACCATCAGTGGTGGAAGGATAAATGCTCCAAATAACAGCAATCTAGATGGAAGAACAAACCATAAGTGAAGCCAGGGGAAACCCACCAAGAAGTAATTGTGTGATTTAAGGGGGAAATTTTAAACTTAAGCAAGCCAGAGCTCTCCCACTGAGTCCAGCCCGCCTCTATTTTTGCAGCTTTGAAACATTTCCCACCTAATCCTGTGTTCCAAACATCTCCAGCATTATTTAAGCCTCCCCTGAGCTGCTCCAGGGCTGCAGGGTAGGTGGGAGCTCCTGTACTTACACGCCCCTGAGGAATTTTCCTTCGTGCTTGAGTCTTAGCAGGCGAATTCTCAGCACAGCACACACCTGCTGCCTCCAGAGCATCATCCCACTCATGGCCAGCATCCCCTGCTTGGACAACCCCGGGGGGTTCTGCTCCCTCTCCTCGAGGTCTCCATCTCCTGTGTGTTCACCATGAGAAACCATCACCCACAAGGAGCCTCCAAAGGACACCTCTTAATCCCAAACTATCATCAAGGATCTTCTGCTCTGAACAGAGGGATGCTTTGATCTGTTATTTTATTTTTTTTAAGAGAGAAAAGTAAGAAGGGCAGAGAAAAGGGGCAATAATTCATCCAGAATAGAATATTTATCTTGAATAGAATTTATATCATTATTATTATTATTATTGAATAGAATTTATATTATATAGATATAGATATAGAGCCTTGGGAAGTGCCTTCTGCAAACTTTATCCCTTCTCACCTCCTGGGCTGGGCTGTACAACCCTTCAAAGGTAAATACCCTTCCAACACGAGCCTTAATTAATTCTTGTGCTTGAAAACCTTTGGGAAGCCAAGACAGAATCATTTGGGCTTCTCCAAGATGATATTCCTCACTGAAGGCAAGTGGGATACAACTGCCACTCTAGGCCCATCAATATTCCCCATTTAGCAGAAATTGATTAGTTATTCAATTAAAACACTTGTTTAGATGGAACTTTAAGGGAGTCAATGCTTTACCTTCGGGATCAATGGTTTCCTCACCCTGCAGCTTCAGGAAAACATCTTCCAGGGTTGTCCTGGTCACCTCATAATTAACAACTCCCTGCAAGAGGCTGCTCTCGAGGTGGCTGAACAGATCTGCAGGGGAGAAACCACCAGACTCAGCCCAGGCACCACAAACTCAGCCAATTAACACTGCATGTTCCAGCATTCATTAATCCCCATGGCCTAAAAGTCATCATAAATTCATTGTGGTTTTTAGAGGTAATTAGCGGAAAATTCAGTGGTTTTTTTGGTTTTCATGGGCCATCCAGAAAACAGAAAAATCAATACAAAGGATTTAGGGGGATCTACAAGAGTGCAGCAGACTGACCTCACTCTGCTCCTTCTGAACTCAGCAGACATTTTAATAATAAATTGAGAGGAGTAAAACCAGTGGATTTGAGTTTGTAGATTAGTTGGTGGATTTTCTTTTTTTCATCCTCATTATTAATATTAGCATGTGCACTGAAGGCTTTCTGTAAAACTGATACTTATGCAGCTTCCTAATACCACACATTATGAACCAAAGAATGTAATTATTCCCTTCACAGTAACTTTAACTTCTGCTTTTCCAGAGGGTTTCCCTTTAGAACCCTGGCACAGGGACAGGTTTCTTACCTGGGAAGCTGTCAGTGTTTTCCAGAGGCAGCCTAAAACAGAGCTCATCCCTCTTCTGTCCCTTGAGCACAGCATCAGGGATGTACTGTCTGACCACGGATGACACAAGCTCTGGGTCACACAGGTCATTTATGTGCATCCTGTTTAAAAAAAAAAATAAATAAAAAATTATTATAATGTTAAATAAGAAAAAAAAAAGCGTGCAGGAAAAAAAAAAAGTACAGAGACAGTGGGGATTCTTCCATAGGGAAAGCTCCAAAACTGGGCAGAATTCCAGTGGGAATTTTTACAGCCATCTGCAGTGCCCCTGTTTCTGCCATGCATGCCCAAAATGGTTGAGGTTAAGAATTATGATCCTGGACAATGCTGCTAAACCAAGAACTCAGGAATCAAACTCCTAAGAAAAACAACTTTGCATCAAAGCCCTTTTAGGCACCACAGATCACCTCATTCTGGTCCCCTTCCAGCTGCAAAGGAGGATGCAAAGTCATTTTAGCTGTGTGCTCAGAGCTTTCAAGGTTGGGCTCCAAAGAAAGGCAGCTTGCTGTCCAAAGCAGGGAAATTTTGGCAGCCTTAAAGATCTTCTAAAATGAATTGTCAGGATTTCCATGACTGTCTATATAAACTCTACAAAAACACAGATTCTACAAGAAAACACTCATGAGAATAAGAAGCTTTTCACAAAAAGAATGATGACCAAAACAAAAGGTTTTACCTTAAGTGATAGCCAATGCCCCACTTTCTCTTCAAGTAGAGGGATGAGCCAACAGTCTGTAATCTCCCACAGGAGAGGAAAGCTTTCCGATCTAAGGAGGAGGGAATAAAAGGATTTAGGGGGATTTACAAGAGTGCAGCAGACTGACCTCACTCTGCTCCTTCTGAACTCAGAAGATATTTTAATAATAAATCGAGAGGAGAAAAACCAGGCCAGCCCTGAAGGTGTTTTTTTTTAAAAAAACCCCAACAATTAAATCAATGGTTTTCTCCTCAACATCGTGGTTAATTCTTTTAGTTCAGCATTCTTGTGGGCTCGTGGAGAATTTCCCATGCAGCACAGGAATAATACGGAAATGGGAATTGTGGCAAGCGAAATCCAGGAAAACAAACCAAATTTTACTGACATAGAGACAAATCCAGATAACGTGGAAATGCTTTATCCTGAAGAAGGCTGGAGAGGAGCATGACCAAAGCCTTGGAGGGACACATCAGCCCAGTTTTAAATTTGCTCACCTCGGTTTGGGCGATCACTATCAGACAAAACACACCCAGCGAGCACCAGCCGTGCCACAGCTGGACCCAGAGGTGGGCTGCGCCCTGGAAACCCCTCGTTTGCACCCCTCAAGGTGCCAGTCTGGGCTCACCAGCCTGAGCATCAGCCTCCTCCATGGACTGGGTGGTGAAGAGCGTGGCGCGCCCGGCGCGGCGCTCCCGCAGCGCGCTCCAGATGTGGTGCCTGGAGCAGGGATCCAGCCCGGCCGTGGGCTCGTCCAGGAGCAGCACCTGCAGAGGGGACAGCCAGGTGAGAGCTTCCCCACTGCGACCCAGATGTGCTCACGTGGCTCAGTCCCGTGCTTGCATGGCTTCATTGCCTGCTTCTGATGGTCTCAGGGGGAGAATGCATCCCCGAGTGTGGAGGGAGCAGAGACCATCGCTGGAGAAAAGGCAAACCCCCCCAAGACAGGTGTGGGACACATAGTGAGAAAGTAAGAAAATTACAGCCTGGAAAATATTCCAGGCTGGAGCTTCTCAGCTCTGTTCCCAGCCCATGAGCTGCTCCAGCTCAAGGCCAGGGAGAGTTTCTCCCAGGGTGATCATTTGGTGACAATAAAAAGGAATTAATACCAAGATAGAAGCCCTGTTGTGGTGTGTGCCCAGGCCCTGGCCATGGGGTGTCTTCTCTCTGAATCAATCTCCTTTTCTCTGCTCTGGGAGTTGCAGTCCTGCTATCAAACCAAGTGTGTTTGTGAATAAACTTGGCTCTTTCTTCCTGTCATGACAGACGCCCATGGAGCTGTGCATCTTATTTCTGCCTCACCTAAAGGGTTCAAACCCCTTCCCACGGCCACAGACAGGCCCCTGTGGAACATGATACCTTAGATAAGAACTTGATGAATTAGAATGACTAATACCAAGAAGCATCTCACCCCTTTGTAGACCCCTGCTTCATCTTTCTGTAATTCTAGTGGTCCATTTTTCTCTTAGATAATTGGTTCTTTTTCCTAAAATCTTTCATAGATTGGTTAGTAATAGAATCCCTCATATTACTGGTCCAAATTCAAGACCCTTTAACCCTATAAAAGTCCCCTTAGAACCCCACCCATTGGATTTGCTGGACAGGACCCCCTTCGTAGAAGAAATGAAGATTCTGTGGAATCTCCTCGACTGCATCTCTTGGTACCCGTGGGAAGGGGTTTGAACCCTTTAAGTGAGGCAGAAATAAGATGCACAGCTCCATGGTCGTGTTCCATGACAGGAAGAAAGAGCCAAGTTTATTCACAAACACCCTTGGTTTTATAGCAGGACTGCAACTCCCAGAGCAGAGAAAAGGAGATTGGTTCAGAGAGAAGACACCCCATGGCCAGGGCCTGGGCACACACCACAACAGGGCTTCTATCTTGGGATTAATTCCTTTTTATTGTGACCAAATTATCACCCTGGCAGAAATTCTCCCTGGCCTTGAGCTGGAGCAGCTCATGGGCTGGGAACAGAGCTGAGAAGCTCCAGCCTGGAATATTTTCCAGGCTGTAATTTTCTTCTTTTCTCAATATGTGTCCCACATCTTTCTCTGCTGGCTCAGAGGTACTTACAAGCCTGATTTCATAAAAGAGCTGAAAGCCTGACTCTGGGCATGGCTTGCATTTGTACCTTGTGGCTGAGAACTGCCTGGGACTCCAGGGAAAGCTGTTCCTTGCAGGATCACTGACTCTGGCTGGAATTGGCAGTTTTGGGATCTACCAAAGACCCCCCCCCCCAGCTACACCCAAGTATCGCTCGTTTTTACTGCTCTTCCTCCTGTTGCAATATTGCCACCCTCCTCATTAAAAATACGGCTCTGATTCCACCAGGTTCCCCAGGCCAAGTGAATTGGTAGCCTGGAAAAGCACAGCAGTCTCTGTGCCAAGTGAAAATGCAAAGCTGTGTCCCCAAACAAAACCTGCTGTGTGTGCGTAAACGCGACCGGCCCCTACCTGGGGGTTCCCTAAAATTGCAATTCCAAGAGAGAGTTTTCGTTTTTGTCCCCCACTCAGGGCATCAGCACAAACATTCTGAACATCAGCGAGGTCCATCATGACGAGAACTTTCTGCACCTTGGGAACACACCAAGACAAAAGTCACATTTCCAAAGCACGTTGGAATTCCTGAGTGGCTGCAAACATTGCAAGATTTCAAACTCACCTACTCTTAATGGCTTTACTTGGAGATAAATAAACATTTATAAATAAAGCACAAAGTGCCCAGAATGCCATAAAAAGAGAGGTCAGTGGCTGAGAAGCACATACCAACCTCTTCATCCACTTCCTTCCACTGAATCCCCTTGATGTGAGCAAAAATTCTCAGGTTTTCCTTCACTGTTAAGGCTTCAAAATGCAAATTAACTTGGGGGCAAATCCCAACCTTTTCCTGCATTCCTTCCACATCCCACATTTCAGAAGCATTGTAGTTGTAGATCATTGCAGAACCTGCACAGGGGTTGAGTGAAACATTTGACCATGGATCTTTCTCAAGTGTTAAGTAAAAAAATTCAAAAAACAAAAAAACCAAAAATAACACGAGAGCCCAAAGATTTAACAGCTTTCAAAAATATTTCAGAACAGAAAAAACCCCTCCCTTAAAAATAAAAACACGTTTCCTGTAAGTGTGCAGCTCATGGAAAGCACCAGGTCATGCAGATGGACAAGTGACCATGGTGCACACATGAGGGATCCACCATCCCTGGAGCTGAAGGAGAAATCTGCACTGACAACAACCCAGCACAAATGACTGAGGGAAAACTTGGGGGTTTTTTTTTTGCATATTTCCCCCTTACACTTGAAAAAACCAAACATCTCCTCCTCTCCAGCTCCCAGGCCCATCATCTCACCTGCTGAAGGCTTGGAAAAGCCACTGAGCACATTTAACAGAGCAGTTTTCCCAGATCCACTGTGACCCAGCAGGGCAGTGATCTGGCCTTCATATATATTTAAGGACAAACCTGGAATAAAAACAGGACAACAGTTGGATGGAAGTGTGTGAGGAGAGGATTTGGACCTGTAGCTGTTGTCACAGGTGGCAGAAGTGACATTTCTTTAGAAGCTGAGAGACAAAACCTGATCCAAACCCATAGGTTGGGTCTTCAGGAGTTAGGCCAAAACTTAGTAAGGAACCATGTCTTGATTGAATTGGGGGAATAAATGTATAATCTTCATTATTTAAAGAATTTTTACTTCATTTTTCTATGAGGTTCATACCATTTTATTTTAGTGTGGCTCAAGAAGAGTCCTGAGGAAGAGAAGAGCCACAGCTTTTCCAACATGTGAGACCTCAGGACTGATTTCAAAGCAGCCACACTTTGCTATCTCATTTTCTTTTTTAAAAAATACTTTGTCTTCCTGTGGGTTGTTCAGGTGGTGTTTGTTTGGTTTTTTTCCACTCAATATAGACCTTCGAGGCCATATTGATATATTTAATGGTTTTGTATTTTTCATTTTTGATATTTTCACTTGGAGTTTTTGTTAAACAGAGGCACTTAACAAATACCCCATGACTTTACTATGACTGTGTCAAATATTTGCATTGGCAAGTGCTTGGAGAACACAGCTCGGGCAGGGACAGCAGATTTGGCCACAAAATCCTGAATTTGCCCAAAATAGTTTACATTTTGAAAAGAAGGTTTGAGAGGGGATTTCTAGAGTGGTTCATTACTGCAAAAACACAGCTTTTAAGGAGATTTCTGCTGTTGCAAAAAAAATACTAAATAGGGATTTTCCTGGAGGGAACAGGGAGATAACAACCTGGTAGATATTTGCCAGTAATTTACCCCGGTAGAAATAACCATTGCACAATAGAATTTAACAGGCCCAGAGGCAGAATTCAGTACAGCCAGTACATTTCAAAACACTTTGGGTTTTTATCTAGTGAAAAAAGGAATAAAAGAATTACAAAGCCTCTCCTTACCCTTTAAAGCTTCGATGCTCTGGTTGTTCTTCTTGTATATTTTTTTAATATTGTTTAGTCTAAAGAAAAGTAAGCAAGCCATTATTTATTGAATCACAATCTGGGGCTATTTCCTCTGCCTCAAATTAACTTTTGGAGGAATATTTCCCAACCTCCTCCTCAAACTGGCCCTGCAGAAGGAATCTGCATGTAATTAATTTCTGGTACCTTTAAAAAGCAGGATAAGGTGCTGTACTTTTCTAAAAGCTCTTTAAAAGGTTTCAAAGATAAACTCGAGGAACATTTAGTGAGGGAAGGAGGAGGATCTAGGGAATAAGATGTGGATTTTTAAATGGAGTGATTTAATGGCAGGTTTCTGTTGGCTTTCTGGGAATAACCTGCAGGCAGCACCAGCCACGAGCCCACCCAGCCCTGCAAGGGCAAGGACAGGGCAGAATTTTCTGCAGCACAATCTGTGCTTGTATGCTCCTAAATCATGTACAGACACAAACACTCACACTTACTGATTCTGAGGAATTAGGTAGGAAAAGAACTACTTTATTTATGTTTTATGTTTATTTATAGAATTTTAATAATGATTATGGATTGGACAGTGGGGATAATACTTTTTGACTTTATAGGTTTTATTAACAGTTCATTAATTCTTTTTTTTTTTTCTAAAGAGGAATGTAAAACGTTTATTATTTACGAGAACAGAGTGTGAGAAACTGCAAAAAGAATTTGTCAATAATCAGAAGGCTGAAACACAAGGGTAACATTTGTAGATGATGGGGAAGGGGAACAGACTCACAGCTGAGAGGGAAGCAGGGAAGGGAGCTGGAGGACGCCCCACATCAAAGAAATATTCAAACTAAAACACTGAACACTGCCTTTCACACATTTGCATTCACCTTGTTATGATAATATCATATAATCTTATGTAATATATAACATAGAATATATAATTATATAAAAAATGCATATTATAGATAATATATTATGTATTATGTATTATATCTAATATATATTATATATAACATATAACATATAATATATAGTATATAATATACAATATATAATATGCAATATATAATATATAATATATAATATATTATATATTATATATTATATATTATATATTATATATTATATATTATATATTATATATTATATATTATATATTATATATTATGTATTCTACATTCTATATTATATAGTCTATATTCTATATTATTCTATATTATTATATGTAAATATATAATTATCTATAAATATATAATTCTATACATTATATAATACATACAATCTTATTATTAATCTTCATGCTGCCAGCCTCACACTCGCCAGGGCAGGGTGGCTGTGCTCTCTAGAGCTAAACAATCCATTCTGAGCTGTTTTTTTCCATGCCAAAAGCAGCTCCTTACCTGATGGCCTCCTTGCCATGGAAGTCTGGTGGCAGTGGCTCGGTGTCACAGCCCAGGACGGGGTCGTGGCTGCCGCCCCCTCTCAGCCCCACGCTCCGTGTGCTGCCCCTGAGCCAGTAGGAGGCTCTCAGGAAGAAGGCAGGAGGATGTGGCACCCCGTACTTGCCTGAATCAGAGGCACAGAAAGTGAAATATCAACCCCAAAACCTTCACCTGCCAACTCTGATAAAAGCCCGGCCACCCCCTCCCCGACAGCTGCAGGACTGAGCTCCCAGCAGAGTGAAAGAATTGATAAACTCTGCAATTCAAAATCGTCCATATCTGTAAATGCAGGTTTTTACAACCCCTTTGGTTCCAAAAAAACCCCACGTTGGGCACCAATAATTATTTGGTTTGGTTTAGGGTGAATTTGGGAGGAAATTTTTGAATGGCTTTTTTTTTTTAGGAAACACATTTAAGCAGGTTTTTTTTAACTGGTTTGGAGAATTTTTTTTTTTTTGAGAGAAGTAGAAAAATACTGTTTATTTAATAAGTTAAATACTTTTTAGTACAAAAATGGTCTAAATCAATCCTAAAGCAGCCTTCCAACCCCAGTGGTCAGGGCTGTCGGAGCAGGATCTCAGTGCCTCACTGCACTTTTCTCTCCTCCCACCACCCCTTTGGGAACTTTCTCCCTACAAAGCAGGGGATTGTAGAAGAAAAATCGATGAAGTTTGCATCTTTCCCCTCATATTTTCACTCACCAGGCAAAACCTTATCAAAGTAGATGGCCAGCAGGAAATACAAGACACTGTCAAAGCTCAGGATGAGGTACAGGTTATAAAAAGGGTACAACTCTGGGCTAAATGGTGGTCCATATTTTTCTAGTTTTATCATCTAGACGAGGAAAAAAAAAAAAAAAAAAAGCACAATTCAGATGCAACATTTCCTTCAGGCAGAAATACTCTGTGCTAGCTACTGCTGTGTCATCACAGCCATTTTCACTAAAAACCCAATTGACTCGTGACCAGGACGCTGTGCCTAAGGAGGCAAAGGGTTAATTCCGACCACAAGCACCAGAAATGCCTCAGTAAGCTGAAATCCAAAGCATGCAGAAGCCGCAGAGGGATGCACGTGCTGCTGGCAAAGGCAGCACTTCCAGCCCTCACAGCTCCTGCAGCTCTTGGTACCCAGCAGCCACAACCCCACTGCTCATTTTATAGAGATTTTAATTCCTCCCAGTAACATCTGTGATGCACTTGAGTGCCCAACCTCGATTTAGCACTGAGTTTTTACAGACGAGCTTTCTTTTTAGAAGCAGAGGGTTTTAAGACTGGGTTGTTCTGGTGATGGAAATCGTGGGTTTTGCTGCTCTCTGGCAGAATTTTGGGCGCTGAGCTTTTGTGCTGCACTGGTTTCATTAGGGACATACCTTTGCAAGGCCAGCTGTGAAGGCAAAAGGGCTGAAGAGGTTTAAAGTCCATTCCAAAGCCCGTGGCAGGTTTTCAAACAACGTCAAAAAGCCCAGTGCACCAAAGAGGATGTGAAGAAGAAATCCCACAAAACTGGAAATGTTTGGCTGCTTTAGCAACGAGCTGAGCAGGAAAGTGAAGTGAATCTGCAGCAGAGAGAACCAGTAGTTAGCAGGATGCATTTCTGCTGCAATTTAAAAAAAAAAACAACCAACAAAAAATCCAACATGAAAATAGGAGCAAAATTAAAGACCAAGCTAGGTTTCAGTTGTTCCCTCCAGATGCAAAAGGCTTTGTTTAGCAGACAGCTCTGAGATTTAGGGCAGGTTTATAGGGACAAACAAGTCACTCCAAACCTCATTTCAGCACCTCTCTTTACTCTGATTTTAAATCTCCCAAAATGTGATGGGAGTGGTATAAAAGCCTGCAAATAATAACGATAAATCACAGTAGAGCATTTTTGTTACTTTCTCATATGATACCAGCCCTAGAAAATTCTGTAGTCTTTCAAATATTTTAATTAGGAAATGAAAAAGAAAGGTGCATCATATAAGAATACAAAAGCAGACTTACAGACGTCATGCCATAAAAGAAATAAAAAAAATACAGTTCCAAAAATCTGTGTGAGCGATTCAAAACTGCACTCAGGGTGACCCAGGTCAGCAGGCTGGCTGTGATGGAGATGTACACAGTGTACAGCAAACTCCAGGAGAACCTACAAAGGAAGGCACAGTTATTTGTGTCCCTGGGCATGACAGCACTCACCACGACACAGCCAACACAAGGCACAGTGGTAGGAATTCAAATCTTTTGTATTTTCATCCATTTAACAGTTTCCAGACTGGCCAGGGGCAAATATCAGAGATTCACAGGGAGGGTCAGGTTGGAAGGGACACAGAGGATGGACGTGTCTGCTCAAAAAAGAGCACAGGGCACAGAAATGTGTCCAGGAGGGTCTGGAATATCTGCAGGGATGGACACTCCCTCTCTGGGCAGCCTGTTCAGTGCTTGGTCAGTGCTCAGGAAAAAAAGTTCTTGAACAAATTCAGGTCTTGCACGTGCCCAGATCTCTGCAGATGCAATGATGGCAGTGAAGGGACACTGAGAATCTGAGGACCTTTTATCCCTGTGCTTTTCCTGATGGTGTGAAATATTCATGCCCAGATGGATTAGGAAGGATGTTTGGATAGACCCTGTGTCCCTCCTCTGTTCAGCATTTAGGGGATTCTCCAGACTTTGCTGTTTCTTCACTTTTTCTGTGTGTTCCCCCCATTTTCTGGAGGCTAACAAAAATCCAGAACCCTGTTGCACACACCCCTGCTCCACCAGGAGGGCTCCTCCTCTTTTTTTGGGAGGGAGAAGAGCAACAAAACAACTCCAAAAAATCCTATCTCAGAGCAACAGGCTTGGAAACAGAGATCCCCCAGCAAAGAGAACCCCAGAATGGTCTGGGCACCTCAAAGATCCCCTAATTCCACCCCTGCCATGGGCAGGGCCACCTCCCACCACACCAGGCTGCTCCATACACTTGTTAAATTAATCCCTGTAATTACACATTAATTTCTGTGACTTACCAGAAGGCAATATCCTGCAGCCCCATTGCTCTCATCAATATCTTCAGCTTCTTCTTCTCCTTGAGAACTTTCACTGATAAAAAGTGCATGAATGGGCAGTAGCTGAGTATGGCACAGATAACAAACCAAAGGTAATCCAGTTTAAACAGAGGTTTCATCACGGTTTTCAGGTGAACTCCAGTAATTGACTTCATTTCTTTCCACACAGAGTGGTTGGTTTTCATCTAAAGGAAAGAAATCAGCCATTCATTTCGTTTTTGCAATGAAATAGCCAACATCAGAACAGACAGGGGGTTACAGGCATTAAAATGACTTTATTACTGTCAATAATGAAGTAGTGTTTATAAGCAAATAACCAGTATTTAGTATCTCTTTGCATTGACTTGCAATAAACACTATTAAACCCTTGTTCCATTCAATAAACACTTATTAAACCCTTGTTCCATTCACTTCCTCGAGCCATGAGAATGATCTGTCATTCCTTTAAATTTTGAATTACACTATGTATTTAAGAAATTGATGACCACAGAAAATCAGAGCATCTCAGAATCCCAGAATGGTTTGGGCTGGAAGGGACCTTAGAGATCCCCTACCATGGGCAGGGACCCCTCCCTCTATCCCAGGATGCTCCAAGCCCTGTTCAACTTGGCCTTGGGCACTTTTAGGGATGGAACAATGAACTGGGTTAGTGGTTTTCTTGGTGTTTGGGGTCTTTTTTCCCCTCTATTTTTGGTTTAATCAGTTTGGGTTTTAATTTTACACAGAACTCTGGGAAGAACAGGAAATTCCACACTTACTTCTATGAGTGCTGCATCAATGCTGGACTGCACTGAGAGGAAGCCCCCATACCAGTAGAGAGGAACTTTGCAGTGCTTCGATGAAAAATCCCAGCAGGTTTCTGTTGGGGAAACAAAAATTTAAAAAATAATTAATCAATATGAATTCATCCATTTCCATATACATGTGCATATAAATACATGTGGGGTTGAAAATGAGTTTTACCTAAGTGTGAGGAAATCAAGATTGGGGTTTACTCAGTCTTTTATCTTTTAATGTGTTAAATCTCTGGCCAGGGACATTAATGCACACACAATTCTCATTTTCCAGGCATGAGTTGATGTGTTAAGGTACAAAAAGGAAAAGGGTAAAAAGGAACTGGATGATCTCTGAGCTCCCTTCCACCCCAAACCATTCTGGGATTCTCTGATTCTCTGACTGTGGATGACATTTATATTCTTACAACTTTCTACTCTGACATGTTTTTCCTGTTTTCCACGAATCCTCAAATTTTAACTCATGTCTTTCTTGAGCCATTTGGCACATGCAGCCTCCATCCCTTTGGGGTGGCACAGCAGCACAGAAATCCAGCTGAACAGTTTTTAATGGAAAATCAAAGCCTGGAGTTTCATTTATTTCATTACCAATGTGCTCAAAGCCTTCATTTGGAAACACTGCTCTGCCCAGCTGAAATCTGAGAGTGTAGGAGAAGTCATCCTTAAAAACAACACCAATAGTTTCCTCCTCGTCAAAAATTCCTTTTTCTTCCATTTTTGCCTCATTTTCCACCTCTTCTATTATTACACCTGCCGTTAGAACAGATAAATAATATTAATTTAAAACAAAATAATAAAACCAGCGCAGCTGAAACTCCGATTATTCAAGCAGCAATGACAATGGGCATCACCACCCTTTATTCCTTAAAAATCACGTGGGACAGATGTTCTTCCAGATGTTCCCTCCCTACCACGAGGGTGGGTCAGGTCCCCTTCAGACACTGCAGGAGCAGGGATTTAAGAGCTTTTACCCCTCAGTGGCGAGCTGGAAGCCACTTTTGCCATGATTCTCCTGGTGGTGTTGGTGGCAGGGGTGTACATGAGTGTCACCCCCGAGGCGTTGAAGGCTGGGTCGTCCAGGCTGCCCAGGAATTTGTAGGGGAACTCCTGGGTGGGGTAGTTCACGATCAGCCCCGCAGAGTCACGCAGGATGTAGAGGAAAAGCAGCGATGCCACCCATTCCTGGGGGGAGGAAGGAGAGGCAGAGGTGAGGGGGCAGCCCGGGGGATGCTGCTTTAGGGTTAATTTTTTGTGTTTTTTCAGATCAGCACTGCTGTAGGGTATAACTCTAAACCCCTGTCAGCTGCTGCTCTCCTGTTTTATTCAGACACAACAATTCCTCTCCAGGCTGGCAATCAAGGACACCTCCCTGCCTCAGGCACTGAGAAATGGAAACAAAAGTGATTTTGGGGGGAAAACTTCGGGGATAAGTGACTTCATTACCTGAAGCTGTAATTGGAGGATTAACCCTTGATTTGTAAATGGACTAAACTTATAAAAGTGTGAAAAACTCATGACCATTGTCCATCCTGGGTGGAGCCCCTGGGAGGCTTCTGACTGCCCAAGGTGCATCTATTGAAGGCCTTCAATAAATCCCCACTTTTATTCTCTTAATCTTATTCTTAATCTAATAATCTAATTTTAATCTAATCTCAATCGTATTCTCTTAATCTCTCCTCTCTTTTGGGCACCCACTCCAAGGCTCCTCCAGGACCCTCCTGGCCCAGCTCTGACCCCCCTGCCCAGTCCAGCTCCTCCAGCCTTTCCCCTGTGCACGAGGGAGAGCTGTTCCACAGGTGTGATGGTTTTTAAATCCCAGGAAGGTTTCAGATGGAAAACATGTTTTCTTAGTCCTGGAGCCAGCGAGGTCTGTGGATAATTTGACACTCCAGCCATGAATTGGACATTGTGTTCCTTTGGACAGGGCAAGATCAACAACAGTAAAAGCGAGCAGCCAGCTTTGTCACGAGGCAGATTTGTAGTGTCACAGGAAGAAGGAACTGCTGACATTTCCCAGGGAACCACAGCTGAGTCTTCTCACATCCCCTCACACAAAAACAGTGCAATGTGAAAATACTTTGTAGTGGAAATCCTGATTTCCCTTTGGAAGGACTGACACTTGCCTGAAAACTTTTTGACTTCATCCTCCACACCAGAAGAATATTTTTCCACAGGAGAGCACAGGTTTGCTGAAATATTTGTGAGGCTTTCTTGGATACCCCCTGCATTTTGCCAGCTAAAATGAGAAAGAAAATGATATAATTTAGAACAAAGCAGGTCACTGGGAGTTAATTACCACTCCAGAGGAAGCCAATAACATGCCAGAGGGGGAGAACTTGTCTCCTTAACTTTGGACAGCTAAGACTGAAAGGAAATAGATCATGCAAGGGAACAGAGAGCTGGGCTGGACTAGGAGCTGCATGTGCACAGAATCATCCTTCCTCACCCAGACTCATCCTTCCTCACCCAGACTCATCCTTCTTCACCCAGACTCATCCCTCCTCATCCAGATTTATCCTTCCTCATCCAAACTCATCCTTCCTCATCCAGGTTCATCCTTCCTCACCCAGACTCATCCTTCCTCATCCAGATTCATCCTTCCTCACCCAGACTCATCCTTCCTCATCCAGCTTCATCCTTCTCACCCAGACTCATCCCTCCTCATCTAGCTTCATCCTTCCTCATCCAGGTTCATCCTTCCTCACCCAGACTCATCCTTCTTCATCCAGATTTATCCTTCCTCATCCAGCTTCATCCTTCCTCATCTAGACTCATTCTTCCTTATCCAGACTCATCCTTCCTCACCCAGACTCATCCTTCCTCATCCAACCTCATCTTTCCTCATGCAGATTTATCCTTTTTCATCCAGACTCAGCTTTTCTCATCCTTCCTCACCCAGACTCATCCTTCCTCATCGCGAAGAGGTTTTGTGGAAGGAGACATCCGCTCACGTTCCAGTGCAGAAAGTGAATTCCTGTCTGGCCTCAGGCACGTGGTTTGTTGGCAAAGCGCTGCTCACGTGCCCTGGGTTCTGAACCAGACCCTGAATCACGTTACAAACACTGGGGAGGTGATAAAAATAACCTCAAATACAGACTGCCACTGCCTTGCCTTCACCAGGCTGGTAAGAGACCAGTTTGTTCTGTTTTCACCCAAATATTAAGGAACTTTAATGCAGTGAGAGCAGGGCAGGATTAGAACGCCCATGTGCTCCTTAATACCCCCCAGAATACTGAGCAGGGAGTATTTGGGATATTTATTTCAGCTCCAGATTTAATCCCGTGGCCAAGCAGCAAGAACAGGAGCGAGTTCAGAGCACTGGGTTTCACTCCCTTCCCAGGGGAGCAGGGCAGGGAACCTCCCAACATGTTTTTGTGGTTTAATCCTTTCAAATGGCTCAAACCCAAAATCAGAGCAACCTCAAAGGCAGAGTGCTCCATTCCCCTTGGACAGCACTTCCTGATTTCACAGATTGGGCAGCTGGAGTTAATAAAGGCTTCCACTGCTCTGTTCCCTTGTTTTTTTGGAAGAATTAAATATTTGTGTACTGCTGGGGCAAGGGATCCAGGATCCCAGTTTACCTTCTGTGCTATCCTGTCTTATTTTATTTGATCTCCTGGTGCTCTGCTTTCCCTCCTGCTTCCTCACATTTCCTCCCTGCTGCCTGCACTGAAGGTTAAAGGTAAATAGGAAAGGATTTCTAGGAAGTGTCACTTTTTAAATTTGTTTTTCCTCAGGTCTGGATTTCAGTCATGAACTGAAAGCAGCAGCTCAGCCCAGGGTGTTTGGGCAGTAAACAAAGGGTGGTGGTGTTTGGATAACAAGGAAAGCACGATGGTCTTTAAAAGAGGTGCAGAATCTCTAGTCACAATAAACAATTTTAAATGGAGCAAATCTAAAACTTTTTAGAAAATTTTAACGAAGTTTCTACCAGTTTTAATTTACTTTTTGTCTGTAGAGCAAGGAGTAAATACCACTGGGAGCCAAATATGAAGCCAGGAATTCAAACAAGTGATGTTGCCTACAAAGGCTGTGGAATTTACCTTTCAATCAGACACCTAAAAGTATTAGCTATGATTAACTTTAAATTAGGTATCTAATTAATCTATTCGATTATTATCAAAAAGGTAAAAAATCTAGCCAAGAGAGAACCCTCTGTGAGGCCTGAGGCTCAAAGCTTCAGATGCAGAAGGCAAAATAAGCACATCAAAAACTGGAGGCAATGATGTTTGGGAAACTTTAATTCAGTTTAGAGCATCCCTTGTAAAGCTGGATGTCTCCTGGGGCTCATTAAGTGTATCCAAACTTCCTGCTCTCCAGGAACTCACTGCCAAGGTGTTGCAATAATTTTCCTGGATCCTGCATGCAGCTCTGGATGTCCCAGGAAGGCACATCCCATATAATCCCTTTATTTACTATGTTAGGGAATTCCTCTTTGGCAGCTCTTCAGATTATTTTCCTCTATAAATTTAACTTGCTGAGGTCTGTTTGAGGATGTCCTGCTCGTTGCAGGGGGGTTGGACTGGATGATTTTTAAAGGTCCCTTCCAAACCCAAGTATTCCTGGAGTTTATGATTTTAGTTCCTAAAATCAAGCTGCTCTTCAGGAGCTCTGGCAGGAGCCTCAAAGGGAGAAATCCACATTGCATCTCAACTTCCCAGAGGATCCCCTGGATTTCCCAGAGCCAAGGATTGATCCCTGCACGTGGAGAATGCAGAGGTGCTCCTTCCATCCCCTCCTCTTTGCCAGTTCTTGCAGTTTTTTGTGATTGCCTCTGATCAACCCGAGACAGATTTGCACTGACTCCCCTCCAACACCCAAACTGGACCAGGTTGGGTTTTCCTACTCTCAGCTTGAAAATAACAACTCTGAGCCTGCCCTTGATCAAAGCTCAACACTGCAGCTCACACAGAGAAGTGAAAATTGGGGGTTTTGCATTTTTAGATGCCTTTAGTGACAGCCAGGCAGGAGGAGGAGAGCAAAGGGAGGGATCATCACCCAGTGCTCAACCTGCAGCTCTTCACCTGCAGCCATGGGGAGAACCAAAATCCACACACACACCCAGAAAAGCTGAATATTTTTGCTCCTTTTCCTCGAAAATATTTTGTTGGGAGCTTACAGTCCACCAGAAAACAGAGCTGGAAGGTGCAACTGTTATGCATTCAGCATCATAAAGCATTAATTAGGAAAAACCTCATGAAAACTCAACCCCTGCACGAAACTGCCCCAGGGAGAACTTTTCCATCTTTACTTCTAAATTAATTTTCCCTTGAAAAAAAGGAGGAAGATGTGACTCCTTACCTGATGGTGTGTTTTCCATGGGGACCAGGTCTGCTCCAGCTCTGGTGTCTGTGGCTCCTGGTCCCTTCTCAGCCCCAGGGAGGCTCAGCCTGGTGGCCCAGCCCGGTGGCCATGCCCCTCTCCAGCCTGACGTCACCCGGGCAAACCCTCCCAAAACTTGTGGACGATGACCCAAAGTTGGAACAGCACCTACAACCAGCTGGCCCCGAGCCTGGCGATGTTTACAGCACGCTTTGGAGGGTTTAACTCAACTCCTGCAGATGTTCCCAGCAGGCAGCAGCGTTGGGGTGGCCTGGGATGGGGTGAAATCTCATTCCTGAGAGGTGGCAAAGCCACTTTGTCCCTGTCCCAGCTTCTCCAGAGGGAAAACTCTGCTGCCTTGTCCCCACGGTGCCCAGAGCCTGACTCAGCAAATGCTCCTTCCTCTGCTGAGACAAATCCAAATCCTGCATCCCAGCACCAAGGGGATTTTAGTTCTTCTTTCTCCTTTCCCCCTTGTTTTGAGTGGGTTTTTTTTTTTTTTTCCCAATTGCTTTTCCAGCAGCTGCAGCACAGCTGGGAGCAGGATGGAGCGTGTTGGGTGTTTAAAAACAGAACATCTTTCCAGTGGATCTGCATTCAAAACAGGGAGGTGAGGAAATCAGACAAGCCAGGCAATCCAAACGAGCTGGCCACGGGATAATTCAACGTTTCAATGAATTTGACTGTCCCGGAACTTGCACAGCTCGAGGATTGTGCATCTGATTTGCAGAGCTGCCTCAAACCACAAGGGCTGGCTGCTTGTTGCTTAACAAAAGGCCAGGGCTCTGCTGCAGCTGCTGATTTACTCATTTTCAAGGCATGAGCTCATTTAGGAGAGCAGCAGAAGCGTTTTCCAGCATCCCTTGGGGTTGGGCAACAGGGGAGCAATGGGGAAGGCTCCTTGTGGCTGCAGAAAGCCCCTCCGAGGTGAATTTCACCAAAAAACCAGCACTTTTCTGACCAAAACCTGTGCCTCAGTGTGGGACCCAGCCCTGCCCTGAATTCACTTTACCTACAGAAAAGGGTTTTTGACAGAAAATACACCTGCTCCAAGCACTGCTTGGGGTTCCCATCCTGCTGCTGAAGGGGGACCCCAACCCTTCAAAGCTTCTCTGAGCAGCAGCAGGAGAGCTCAGAGCATCTCAAAAATCAGTAATTAAATCCCCCCAAGCAGATGCTCCACAGGGTTTCTGAGAAGGGGACTCAGGATCAGATTTTGTACCTGCCAGGAGGAGGAGAGGGAGCCAGACCCTTCCAGAGGGGGATGTACCAAGCAAAGGAAAAAGGAACAGTGAGAGCTCCAGGAAATCCTTATCAAAGAGAAATTCAGCATGTTAAATCAGGGACTTTCTGGACATCTCTTAAAAGAAGCATTATAAGGGAATGAATTAATTTTACAGCTTAAAAAAATAAAAGAATAAATTAAAAAATTAAAAACCATGGCACATTGCCCTTTCACACCATCAGAAACAAAACGAGTAGGAGCTGCTGGGAACTGTCCCCAAGCTCAGATTCAACTTCTTTGTGGTTATTTCCTCTCCACTCAGGGGCTCAGGGAGCACAAACCCCATTTATTTTGCTGCACCCTTCAGTGACCCTTGAGGCTGGAGGTGACCTCCTCCTCCTCCTCCTCCTCCTCCTCTTCCTCAGCAGGGTCTGTGCAGGGAGCTGGCAGTGCCCTCCATCCCTGCAGAGCTCATTTCACCCCACCTTCATCCAAACCTCCCCCATTTCACTGCTCCTCACCCAGAGCCAGCACCCACGCAGTAAATTCACCTTGGGCACAGCTCCAAGCACAAAAAAAAGAATTAATTTTATTTATTTTTTTTTTTAAACTGGGGTTAATTTCCCCGTGGCTGGAGGTGATTCAGCCCTGCAGATGGACACTGTGCCATGCCAGGAGCACACAGCTGCCCTGGGGTCACTGCTGGCCCCAAGCTGGGCTGAATGAACCTGGCTCCAAAACGTGATGTGAGCCCGACTGTTGCAACACTGCAAAATTCCCCCAAATTCAGTTTAAAACATGTAAATACCTCAGCCTGAGAGTCCTGGCCATGCCAAGAGCCCCCCAGGCTCTGCCTGAGCCCAACCACCTGAAACTCTGGTGCACCCCAAAATCAGCCCAGGCTTGAAAACCACCCCCATTTCCAGCACAGCAAAACACCCAGAAAGGCAAGAGCTTAACAACCCAATCCATCTTTATTTTGGAAGTACTTCCTGCTGGGAAAGGAAAATCCTCACCTTGACAAGGACAGCCAAGTGCTGAGAGAAAGGCAAGGGTGTGGAATGAACTGCACGTGGTCCAGCAGCAGCAGCAGCAGCAGCATCACAAATGTGTCACCTTCAGGCCTGACACCTCGTGCTGCATGTTGGCTGTGCAATAAATCCCACTTGCTAAACAGAGATGCTCTGAACTTTTCTTGGGAACATAAACAAAACCAGACACCTTCAACTCTCCATAGAAAAATACAACCTTGTGACAACACCACGAAGTGAGTGAGTTTTCCAGGCTCAGGACACGCCAGCTGCTCACAGCAACCCTGCAAGGCAGCTCCGACCATCACACCTGGGAATGGTGACCCAAACCTGGTGGATTTACCACAAATCCCCCCCAAATCCAGTTTATCTCAGGGAGCACAGGCCGGGTGTGTGCTGGAGGGATGGGATTTGGAATGTCACTGATAACAGCTGAACAAAGGGGCTTCCAATGGCAGGAATAAAAGCTCTGCTGTTCCCAGGGCACTCCCTGGTTTAATTTTGCCTGTTTTTTTTCCCCTATTCTGGTAATTACAGATATCTTAGGGCACTTTGAAACACTTCTGATATGAGGACAGTGATGTTTTGGGGTGGAATTTTACCCCACTTTAACACGGGATGTCACCAGGCCAAAAAGATCCCACCCAAACTGGGAATTAATTTCATGAGCCAAATTCTTTGTCCTTTCTGTAGCTGCACAAAAACCAGTGCCACCACCCACTGGGCTCCTCCAAGATAAACAACAGCACCAAACTGAGCTAATCCAGCTTCTAATCCAAAGTTTTCACATCTGAAATGTGAGGAAATACGGAAATATCTGAAACAGACAGCACAGAACTATTTTACAGACTATTAACTCCAAGTGAAAGAATAAATTCAAGGCAGACACCAAGGCTCACAGGTCACACTAATTCCCTAAATCCATGTGACAAGAATGTGCTGGATTGATGGGCAGGTGACACTTGGCTGAAACACCATTGGCAAAAAGAGACCAAAGAAATGTGGGATTTGGGAAAAATGCACTCAGCTTGTACACACCTGCATGGGAAAGTGCCAAGAGAATTCTGAGTCCCAAACTGCTCCAAATAAAGGTAAAAGCTCAGAGCTCCCAGGCAGCAGCAGGGCTGGGGCTAAATAAATAAAACATCCAAATCTGTTTTTGTTTTTTTTTTCTTTTCTGACAGGGAGGTTTCACCCCTGTGAGGTGGAGCTGCAGTTTGCTTTAATCCTGAACTTTTAATCCCTCATTTCCAGGGCTGTGGTTCCCTGGGGAGGCAAATGGGATGTCCAGGCCTTTCTGTAGGGCTTGGGCTCAAATTTTAACTACAAACCCAGAACTGTGTATTTCTTTGCAACCTATGGGTACAAAAGAGGAAATAAAATTCTGTATAAGGAATTCACATCCATATATAAGAAACTAATGGGAACAGATTTGGGCTGAACACACTGATAAACCTTTATCAGACATACCACACACATTATTGCCTGGTAATTACAAACAGATGGGACACACAACTCCAACTTTACCCATTTTTTTGAGTTTTCTCAAGAAAAACAAAGGTCTTTTCTAACTTTAAAGTGAAGATACATAAATGGTATGACTTATGAAGCCAATGTCTCAATAGAAACACATCTCTGTGTCTGTTCATTGCAGAGCAAAATGAACTGGCAGCAAGCTTTAATTTCCCCTTATAAAACTAAAGATGTGATGATAGCTTTGTGTAGAAAAAAAAACCCAGAAAAATAATATATTTTCAACATACATCTGTCATAGCTCAGGCTAAAGGACCACATGTTCAACTCTTCTTAGTGCTTCTATGCAAAGCAAAGGCACCTTTCTTATGGATGAGGCTGTGAACTGGGACCATTTCATTTGGGGTTTTACAAAGGGAGGTGACAAAGTGCCAGGCTGGGCCCTGTGTTACTGACTGCAACCACAACAACGAGGGACTGGGGAACACTGGAGCTCATGAATGCACTGGCAAGGAAAATGCAACCACCTCCACAGCAGTGTGTGTGTGACAGCAGCTGGCAGGACACACGTGGGCACACCCGGGGACAGAACCAGACTGCCCTGAACGCAGACAGGGCACAACCCCATCTCTGCAAACCCCACAGCCACACTCTGTCCTTTTAACCAAGCAGGGCAAGGAAGGAGCACATCCACTCTGCCCAGCCTGCAGGGGAGGGCACTGCCAGTGCCAGCAGGTGCCACTTTGATCTGCAAAGGAACATTTCCAGGCTGGTGGGATGCCAAGCCGAGCTGGTGGTGCAGTTCAGGACCCTCCTGGCAGCAGGGCAGTGACTCTGCAGTGGTTTTTCCCCCTCTCTTCTAAAGCAGGTGCATCTCCAAAGCAGAAGCAGGGAAGGCTCAGCTGGTGCAGGGGCAGGGATGGGTGTGCAGGACGGGCAGCAGTGCCCACCCAAGGGCACAGGCAGACCCTGCAAACCAGCCCAGAAGGGCAGGATGCTCCAGCAGAGCTGGCAATGCTCACACACAGGATTTTCCAAAGAACAGCCCAACCTCCAGCCCAGCAGAGCCAAGGGAAGGCAGGTGGCAGCTCCTGCACCGGCCACCAGCACCAGGACACTGCCAGTGACACCAGTGCCCTCCTGCCCAGCACAGAGCAGGGGAGGAGGGGCTGGGGCTCAGCCAGAGCAGCAGTGGGATGCTCACAGCTCCTGTGGGGTTCTTCCCAAGGCCAGGATGGTGGGGCACGCTCAGGGCTTCCAAACCCAGCTGTCCTTGCCCACCCCAGCTCCAGGGGCAGAGGGAGGATTGGTGCTGGCACCGACAGGAGCTCA